TGTGGTTTGAACATACTCTTTTCCTTCTAATCTGAAATAAGCCATTTCCAAATGAATGTTGGTCTTGGCTATCACTGCAGCTTTCATCTTTTTTATTCTGTTAACCAATTTTCCAGACAAGAATTTTTTTACAAGACTGAAAGGACTTCACATCAGCAAAGAGAATATTTCCTCATGCCATACTTGTTGAACTAAAACAATGTGGTTTTCCCAACAGTGTTTATTGTGTATGATGTGACTGGTCATTAATTAGGCTGTTGACATGGAATATATCCAAGAATAACCCACCTACATCCCACATTCTACAATGAATTACAATTAAGTAGATCCCTACCATCTACACCCTTGAATACCTGAAGACCCTAAAAGGTAAGAAAGTGAGCCGATTGCGGGAGCCGTGCTTCTCAAAGCGGGGTATTTATAGCAGCAATGCACCTGTTAGACATGCAGAAACTCAGCTGCACCTCAAGCTACCTAATCAGAATCTGCGTCTGAACAATATACACGCACACTGACATTTGAGCAACCCTGCTCTCCCAACTAGTTTTAGATTTCTGCCATCATTCATCTAGGTACTTTGTACTCACTTCAACCTTTCTCAAATAAAACATATTTGGAAGGGAAACAACTGCCAAGAACTGGAGAAAATTCACTCAAGCTCCCCCTCCTATTTTTTTCAATATATAAAAAAAAATCCCTTTATTTTTTACTAAGGTGCTTTTAAATATGTGATTTTTTTTTTATGGAGTTAATGTTAGTTGACAACACTGTATATGATTTATCAATATAGGTTCACCCCTCTTTAGTATGTCACCACACTATCAAAGCCCCATAATTCTCCACCATAGTCTATTGGGCCCCCAATGGCATGAAGCATAGACAGTCACTCACACATTGCCCTCTCTAAATTCTTGAGTATAGATCAAATCTTTGAGAATATAAGCCAAAAAAAAAAAAAATAGTAAGAGAAAATTGAATTGACCTAAAGAAAAAAGAAAGGAGATTTTTAGATTGATAAGTTCTCACCCATGTAACAGAAAAATGAAAGTGATCCTAATACTCTACAGAACCTGGGGGGGGGGGGAAACTATCTTGAGGAAAAATCTGCTTTTTTTTTTTTTTTTTTTTTTTAAAGATTTATTTATTTGTGCATACAGAACTGGGGTACAGGCCAGAGGCTCAGGGGTGGCGAGAAGCTTCACCAGAGACAGAGTGGGGAGCAGAACAGGCAGATCGACGAAGTACACTGCTGAGGGGAGCAGCGGGCGGGCCAGGAGAGGTCTGCCACACCATGTGGTCACCTCCGGGGCAGACGGGAATCGAACTCATGCAGAAGCGGCTTTAGATTCTCAGTGCTGTGCTTCACCCCGCTGCGCCACCAGGGAGAGCCTAAATCTGCTTTTTAAGATTTTCATCTATAATTCTGCAGAGTTAGGATCAGGTAACACACAGAAATCCTATTACAAATTTGCATAAATTCTAATTTTTTTAAATACTGGTGAACTCACATGAAAGAATAAGATATTCAGGGGTGGCAGAAATAGAGGGGAGACAAATGAGGCAGGTAAGAATAGGGGGGTTGAATGTGGGGGTTGCTAGTGATAAGCACCCAGAAACACAAATCCTGGTATCCAGATATAAGGCTTCTGCTTATATTAAGTGGAACTCACAGAAGGCTGTGCCTTCAGTGAAAGAAGTGGAAAATATTAATAAAAAAATACACTTACCAATTAAGGGTGTGACAAAAATACTCCCTTCTGCTTAAATTTATAGTAGGAAATTTGCCATGAAGAAAGGAATCATCATGTTGATAACTTATACACATTTAAAGTCAAATATTCTACACATCTGAGAAGGGAATTTGAAACAGAGAAATTAGCTTAAAAATTGGTACTGAACTAGAGATAATTTTGGAATGTTAGAAGATGAAAACATAGAAGCACTTGAAATAACAGTGGAGAATCAACAAGGAAGACGTTAACCCAGAAACTGTTACTTTATGACCCATTGGGATATTTCTCAAAGGCCTTAAAGTAAGGCATCTGTGGAACCATATTTTGAGATAAGACCCATATCCATAAGTCATTTTTTCAGTAGTCAGGTGGCTGGATAACAATTCAGGTCTTTATTTATTTAGAAGTGTCGCCTTGCACTGTTTATGTCATGAGAAAATTGGAAAGGGAAAGGCATGTGGAACCTGTTATGATTCCTTTCAACTCAAATTTGAATAACCTAAGATTGCCATTGACGTAAGACCAACAATTGTGTTTATTATACTATAACAGTTTTCTTCATCTTCCACATTTACGTGTCCAGTTTAATATTTGTCAAGATGGAAGATTTTCACATATGGAAAAGACATCACAGATTGTCATTAAAAAGTTAAACAATACTTCCCAGCTTGCCTAATTGTTTGTGTGGGGGTCGGGAGGGAGAATCCAGGATCTGTGTTGAGTCCTTATCTCTCTCTTTTTTGTTTTTTAAGATTTATTTATTTATTCATACAGAACTGGGGTAAAGCCAGAGATGAGGGTGAGAGGATGCACCAGAGACAGAGTGAGGAGGAGAACAGGCAGATGATCAAAGTACACTGCTGAGGGGAGCAGCGGGCAGGTCAGGAGCGGTCTGCCACGCCATGTGGAGCTCCTCCGGAGCAGACGGGGATCGAACTCATGCAGAAGTGGCTTAAGTTTCTTAGTGCTGTGCTGTAACCCACTGGTCCACCAGGGAGGGCCTGAGTCCTTATCTCTTGATCTTTTTTATGGTTGATCTTTTCATTTTCATACTGTGCAGTGTGTAGGGACTGGATTTTGCTAGTTCTAAAATAATGGGATTCATAGAAGTAGTCCATAACATGCACCACTTAGGAGGATAGTTAATGTCAATGTTTATATTGCATGTAATAATCTCTAGTTAAAGCTTAGAAAAAGTGAAATGGCAAAACTGGAAGTAAAGAATCTAATCCTGTTTAGGGAATAGTCTTGCTAGAACTAAATCATAGGCCTTTGATTAGGGAAAGCATATGTAACTATCTGACAATTTTTAAATACCACGTTCCTTTCCCAGAGCCATCTGCTGATACAAGTGGAGCTGAGCATGCTACTATTAGAATGGATGAGATTTAGAGAGTGTCATATTACCTACCAAAAGGCTACTGAGGTTTCTAGTCAGTCATTGTTAAGAGCAGGTTTACTTTGGGTCAAAATTCCCAACAGCAGAACAACCCAAGCCCCCCAGGAGGGGTCACCCAGCCTGCCCCACCCCAGCACCACCCATCTCACCCCTGTCTCATCAGATATCAACCCCATGGGCTCCAGCCCCTCAGGGTCTCAGCACACCTTCTGTGTTTCCTGCCCCACCTGCCACAGACCCTGAAACTGTAGGATTTCTGACCCTCATTGTTCTCAGGGGTATTGTCCTGGTGCTCAGTGCTTGCTTGTCAGCTAGGGGTGTGACAGTGAAGCAGGAAGTTTCCCAGGTCTGCTTAGGTTCTGCTACTGCCCCAGGCTTGCTGCTGCGGGGAGTGGATTGCTTGGATTCTGCTGCACTGGAACAGAAAGTTCCTGCTGGCCCAGAGTAGTGGCTTGGCTACCTTTGATATTATACCTCTGAATCATTGTAAAGCAGTGTTACCTGCGAAAAGAGAACCCAGCACCTCAGCCCCGGGTCCCTCCCTTGGGGTCCCTGCTGCTATCAGCAGTCTCTCTGCAATTATCGTTTGCTTGCTGACCTTCAGTCCAGTGCACCCGTGATTAATCCTCAGTCGCTTGGACACAAGAAACTACATGATCGATACCTGTTTGGCAACAATGCTCCATTCCCAGAAGGCACTTGCGTCCCCAGTGACCATGAATAAATTGCCCAATTGTGTCTCTTTCTTCCTTATTTTTTATTGTATAAGAATATAATGTGCCCATGTCTTCTCTGGGAGAGAATCATATTATTTTGTATCTCTTTTTAAATCCTTACTTTACACCAACATTTTCTTACATCTTTAAGATGTTCATGATTCTTATATGAATCAATATTTGTTGATGAGGAGGTTGACCTGAGGCTCCTGTGGGCCCGTATGGGCTTCAGCTCTGTCCAGCTGACCTGGGTGTCCGCCTCACGCCTCTGGGGAGTTGCTGGGACTCTGCAGCTTCAGAGTTCTCCCTGAGGTGAGGTGAAGCTTTTCTTTCACTCCTCTCCTCTCAGGATTACTCTTGCTACTGGAGACTTTTGGCTCCAGATGAACTTCAATACTTTTGTTCACCTTCTTTCAAACACATGTCCCATCTCCATGAGGACTAGGCCCACTGCATTTGGAGCGGGGAGGACAGTCGTTCATCAGTTAGCTGTCTACTCCCTTCTATCTCCTCCTCCCTGTATCCTGTTTCCTTCATGACCTGCGTTTTCCGTGTCCAGTACATCAACTCCTGGGTAAGGCTCATTCCCAGTATTTGCAATTGTGTGTCGTATTCTCTTTATTTTCCTCTCATCCCTCATATGGAAAGTGCAGTAGATCGTTGTGTTGATCTGGTATCCCACCCACATTCAGGGTTCCTCTTTTGTTGTGTCTTTGGGGTTTTCTACCAAGTTTAGGCTGAAGCCTCAGTGAATAGTGACCCTGCTTTCTTCTCCTAGTTCCTTTACATCTTGGTGTTGAGCTATGTTGTGCCACTGTAAACAGGCAGGGCAGATCACTGCTGATTCAGGCAAAAGGAAGAAGAATCTTGGACTCTGAGGTGCATGAAGCAGGACACCAGAGTTGTAGGCAAGTGTGGAGACAGATGGGAAGCCTGAAAGATTGAAATATGAATAGAATTCAGTGGACCAGGTGCTTTAGGCTGCGTGTGCCCATCACCACAGAACTGAGAGTTTATTGTGCACAAAAGGTGCATCTGCGTGTTGACAGTGGAAAGGTGGAAAACACAGCTAATGCATTTCAGAGTTAATGGGCTGTTTGGAAGGCGATAAAGAGCCAGGCTTTCTTCATGTTTTTTACAGTGTGGTCCTACCTGAAGACCACTTCTTTCTGAAGCTCTGTCCTTCTGGACAGTTGTGATCCACCACCTGGTGGTGAACACTCCAGCACCCTTGACCACCCCTTCCCCATAGTGGTTCAGGGTTGCTCACCATATGCAGACACGTGTCAGGTGCCGTTTGGGCTGTAGCTAAACGAAGGGCATTTTCCTATAAAGAGGACAGGTCCTTGTTGCACATGACTTTCACCCATGCACAAAATTGCAAGTCACCTCAGGCTCCAGGGACAACCACCATGGGACATGTTTGACCAATAGGGGTGAACAAAAAATCTCAAATAGTGAGCACATAGCGGGCAGCACATAAGTGGTCAGCGATCTCACCCAGAGTGTGTCCACCTGAAGTACGAGCAGAGTGCTGGTCACCTGGGCAATAATTCTGGTCTATACTGGCCAGTAATGATGGTCCCACTGTTACAGGACACCAAATCTGTTCCAAAACAGGGGGAGAGAGGGACACCCCTGAAGCCCCAAAACCTTCCTGCTCTAAGTGGGTTCTGCCATCCACTGCAACAAGACAAAACATATAAAACTTTAATGAAAAGGGGACTTTAATACAGTATATATACAATATGGAACACAAAGAATATAACTTCTAAATCAGACACCTGAAGTTACCCATCCCCTCGTGAGCAAAAGTCAACCCAAAAGGGATTGGCCCAAAGCAAGGCCTGAAAGCCGCCACGAGACTAAAGCACCTTCTGGCCGGGACCCATGGGAAAGGGTCAGAAATGGCCAGACAAATCTGAGAACAAAAGAGCAAAATCAAAATCAATATAAACACTGCCATAGTCACCTCCCTACAGGTTTCTCATCCACATCTGCCTTAGCCAGTCCAGGGTCAGCAAACAAGCCCGGTTTCTTCATCACATGCTTGCTGCTCCATGTGGCTTCCTTAGGTCTCCTCCTTCTCCATCCAGCTTCATTTCCTTCTCTCCTTTTTCTCTTCTCTCCTTTTTCTCTGCTCAGCTCCACCCTCCTTCTGGGTGGGGCAGGGAACCTGGAACTTCCCTTTTTCCTAGGTATCACCCTGTTACACCACCAGTGACCAGGAATGCTGTATAGCACTGGCCAGTGGAGACGGTCACTACTGGTTCCCCTGAGGTGGTGTTAGGGATGCCAAGTGTCTTTGGGAGTGGTTGGCCAGCACTGAAAACAAATAGCACTTTGAGGCGCTAAGCCTGGGGCCTTTGGTTCTCCTTTCAGGCAATGGAGAGACATATCGAAGACCCATCTCTGAGACAGGTTTTTGACTTCTCTCCCTCCCTAGAGGTTGGCTGGGTGCTCCTTCCTCCCACCCTCCCTCCCTCCCTTCCTCCCTTCCTCCCTCCCTTCCTCCCTTTCTCTTCCTCCCTTCCTCCCTTTCTCTTCCTCCCTTCCTCCCTTCCTTCATCCCTCTCTCCCTCCCTTCCTTCCTAGACTGGAGGTAACCTGCAGGAAAGAGCAGTCAAGAGGGGTCCCTGCGGAAGGAGGCTGGAGGACTGTGGGCCCACAGCAGGATCTCAGAGTCCAGGCTGACTGGAGGAAGCCCGGAGGAACTTGAACTTACACCTGCCTGTCCTGCCTTCATCCTCAGTCTCAGACTGGCCAAGACCCACACAGGTCACACTGTCGCTGGCTGTTTGCAGTGTCCCTGAGCTGACAGATGGTGTGTGGGGTGAGTTCTTTGTGGGGCTCAGAGGGAAATGTTTGTGAGCCTCAGGGCCCCAGGGCTTCGTGGCTGAAGGCAGGGTGTTTGTGCACGGGGAGAAGTTGGCTGTATGGATGTGTGGGTGCTGCTGGCGCACAGATACAGGGCAGAATCTTCTGGCTCCAGGGCATCCTGGAGTGGTCAAGTGGTCACTGTTTGGGCACTCAGGTGAGTAACAACTGGCCACCGTGTTATTTTAAACGAGAGCCTGGTTGTAGTAATAAAACATGAGCTCCAGCATTTGCTCAGTGCCCTATTTGTACCAGTACATGGCAGTATATTCCAGGTGTTGCTTGAACTCCAGGGTCTCTTGTTCCCCCATCACTGTCATCAGATATTTTCGTATCTAGGTAATTGCAGTGTCCATGTGGCCTGTGGGGGTGAGAATCTGAATATAGAATTTACTGTTGGGCAGCTACAAGAAGACTCAGAGTCTGAGAAGAGAGAAGACCCCCTTTTCCAGAACTCACCTGCTCTCAGGAAGACAAAGAGCCTGGAGCCCATGGGGCACTGGACAAGATGGGACCTTCCTGCTGAGTGTCCTAGTCTTTTCTGGCTCTGCAAGAGGACTTCGCAGGACTTCTCTGCCCATGGTGGTTTCTAGAAACAGTAGTCTCTAGTTCACAGTTCTGCTCCCCTCTCAGGTTCTGCTGGCTCTCTACTGGTTGGTTCAGACGGAGCGACCATAGGCAGGTGCAGAGGAATGGGTGAAGTAGGCAGAAATGCTGACAGCAATGTCACATAAAGGTGAGGGAAAATCACTTGATTTAGAGCCCTGTACCACTGAGGATCAAGGAAGTCTACTATTACTGCCTAGAAAATGTCCACCCTTCTGATTAATGACACTTGCATCAGTTTACAAACAGCATGTTGTTCTATTGCAATTAAAATAGACCTTCCCCAAATTGCAGCTCAGGTCAGGATGTGGAGGTTCTAGGTTATTTTGATTTGACCCTTCCTACAGAAGGAGAAGATTGTACAGCTACAACTTCATTCAACTTCCTGTATCCCAAGAGCTCTTCTACAAGCTGCAGGTTACAAAGTGCTAGATTAAAAAATTACAGAGAGACGTAGTCTGAGAGCCAATCATGATCTCATAAAAAAAAAAGACACTACAGCCAGCATTTTATAGAAGTCATTTCTTCATGATATGTGCCCTAAGAACCCAAGAAACAAATTATTGTAGAAGATTCTGCTCACAACCTCAGTTTAAACAATGTTACATAAGAATCTTCTATACCTTTAGTCAAATTCTTGATACAAGAAAACACTAGTACCAGTACAGCTTACAGGAGAAAATCAATGAAAAGAAAATCAAGCACATGAGAAAGAAAGAATAAAGGAAATTCACCTAAGATCGGCCAGAAACATTTTCCTTTATCCATTTCTAGGGGAGGGTTGTACGAGCTGGGCAGTGTGGAGGCACTTGAGTCATGACCAAGTCACTATACATGGTGTTTATAGTTTGGGCAGTTGGAGGAGGAGGGGATCATCAACCATGCCTAGTTATTCTTGTTGTAATGTTGTTTGCAGAACTAACATTGGGTTATAACATTATAATGTTGCAGGTGTACAGGATTATAAGTCACCATCTCTATCTATTTACCATCAAAAGAGTAATTTTCATTTTTCACCATCTAGCATTTTTATTGAATACTTGGTATTATTTGTAAGAAGCCCACTATGGTCGAATCTCTTCAGATACCCTTAACGAGAAGTGTTTATGTGTCTTCTAATAATACTTGATTTAATAGTTATGTACAAATTAGCCTCCTGGCTAGTTCAATAAATATTTGCTGAGTACCTATGTGTCAAGTATTTTCCTAGGCCCTAGACATGCAAAGACAATAAATATAGAGCAGTGGAGATAGAAAAAGAGATAATGCCCATAAAATTCATCAGAGCTATGAAAAGGCTGTAAGTCATAAAGGACAGCAGAGAGACTGACTGTCCAGCAGGGAAGTCTTTGTTGTGGGCCAGTTGGCTGGCACTAGAGACAGCCTGCTCCCATTCCAACTCTCCGATAAAAGTAGTTCCATATTCATTTCTTCATATATGTTAAATAATGAGAATTCTTGATATATTTTAAAGTGACAATGAATATTTTAATTTCTCCATTAATGCATTAAAACCACATGGATCTGGGCATTTCCATCACCATACGACAGCCAGCCAGACAGCACCTTCTCCTGCTTATGGCAGTGGTTATTGAACCTACTGCCACACAAACATGGAAAATAGCCTAAGTCTGATAAATAACACATCATAATGGAAATATTTTATACTTTCCAGTTATGTGTGTGTCAGATAATTTCTCATTTACAACTGTTAGATCTTGATTAATTCTTTAAGGATGGCTGGATACTAGAGAAAGGTTTTTCAAAATACAAACACTGTGATAAAATAAAAACCTAAAAATGTATGTCATTACCTTTAGGAAACAGCCCTCTCATTAGCAGCATAGGCTTTGGTTATTAAGGTATTTGTCAAGTAAGCTTAGCCATAAATCTGACAGTAGCCAATAATGGGGAGGAATGGCTTATTGGCAAAGAATAAAGTCTTCAAGTCTAATCCTACAGTCATATAATTAGAAATTTCTTAGAAATATCTTTTTATGAGCTCTCCCTGTTGGCACAACAGGCTAGGATGCCAGCACTGAAGCGGGTGCATCCATGCAGCCCCTTCAGAGAGAGTGATTCCCTGCCCAGGAGGTGACCCACATGGCGCAGCAGACCTCTCCTATTTCACCCTCTGCTCCCCTCAGCAGTGTACTTCATCCATCTGCCTGTTCGGCTCCCCACTCTGTCTCTGGGGAATCTTCTCACTTCCCTTGCACCTCTGGCATGCACCCCAGTTCTGAATAAATAGACAGATAGATAGAAAGATAGATAGACAGACAGATCTTAAAAAAAAAAATTCACATTTCTTTCACAATATAAGGAGAATAGTTTTGTTTTTTTTTTAAGTCACTGATTTCTCTAAAAGACCACATGTAAAATTATAGATCTTTGACATTTATACTGGCTACTAAAATTTCATTGATCCAAATGGAGATGCACATGTAATACAATCATTTTTTACTTGTTCTTCCTGTGGCATTTGTCATTCTACCATCTAAATAAAGAAATAATTTAAGATGAGTTGGATTACTGACTTGAGTATATATTAGCAAATAAGATCAGAACTGGGATTCAGTTTTAATCCAGTGTCCAAAATTGTGTGCTGTTACCCTCCTACTACATCAGACAATAGCTGGACAGGATCTCAGCAGGCTCAGTATTTCCAGAGATTTCATTGACATTCTCCAGCCTCATTAGCCTCCCTCATTGATGTTCTGCCTGCACAGTCCACATTGGATGAGATGACTGATGCACCTAAAATCAGTACAACTTGAGTTGGGAATAGCTATAAAGGCTCAGGAGGAGTGAGTAATTAACAACTATGAAAGCCTTAGAGCTACTTCTACCTCAAGAAAAATCTGCCTTAACTCCTTACACTATTTTATGCATTGTGTAAAGTCAACATATTTAAGGTTGGATTTTAAGGTTACATCGCCCTTCTTTCTAGGGCTTTGTAGATTTTTTTTTAAAGATTTATTTATTTATTTATGCATACAGACTGGGGTACAAGCCAGAGGTGCAGGGGTGGTGAGAGGATTCCCCAGAGACAGAGTGGGGAGCAGAATAGGCAGCTTGACAGTACATTGCTGAAGGGAGCAGTAGGCCAGACAGGAGAAGTCTGCTGAGCCGTATGGATCACCTCCAGGCGAGGGATAGAACTTGCACTGAAGTAGTTGCCGCTAGCTTGAAATGCTGCATCTTAACCCACTGCACCACCAGGGAGGGCCAGTTTTGTAGATTTTTATAGACTAGTCTACCTAAATTTCATTACAAAGTGATAATCTTATTTAAATATAATGTAGAATATAATAAGGTATAAGAGGGTTATATTTTCATTCAAATACACGTTTTTAAAAACACATGCATCCTTTAGAAATAACAACAGAAATTATAGTCTCTGACATATGCATCACTTATGGTCTGACAGAATGTTGTAATTATAACAAAGTACTTTTTTTTAAATATTTATTTATTTATGCATACAGAACTGGGGTACAGGCCAGAGGGGCAGAGGTGGTGAGTGGATTCACCAGAGACAGAGTGGGGAGCAGAACAGTCCGAATGATGAAGTACACTGCTGAGGGGAGCAGGCGGGGATGTAACGCAAGCTGAAGTGGCTTTAGCTTCTTACTGCTGTGCTTTAACCCGCTGCGCCACCAGGAAGGGCCCTAGCAAAGCAGTTTTAATTAAAGTAGCTAGGCTACATTGGCCTCTACTCATGTGATTTAAATTGTAAACTAGATGTTTTTTAATGCCTAAAATCTTGAAAGTGTCCAACAAAGCATCATTCTCTGAGTCAAAAATATTAAATATCGGTGATTTGGTGATGGGAAACCCAAGGGGATTGTAACTGAAATGGAAAAGTGCACAAAAATATGTAAAAATAAACTATTATAAAATTTTTTAAAAATCGGTGCCTGTTACATGCTTATTTATATATAAATGGTCTCAAGTGACTCATTTTTCAATGATGAAAACATAAATGCAAATGGATCAGTAGGCCAAATATAACAGTGAGCAAGGCTTATTGTCCAGACTAATAACATGTAACATGAGATTTAATTGTAAGTTGCCTTAAAGATTCATTTTAATGCAATACCCAATCAAATATATTTACAATCTACAATACCCACTCATTTCATAGAAGTTATTATTCCATTTACTTTTACAAAGAATACATAGGGCAGAGTAAGAATAAATATAAACAAGATACAGGTTTTTGTGAAGAGTATCACAAAACGTTCCTATGGGATATGAAAGCAAACTTGAAAACAATGGACATTTCTAGTTGTAGAAATTTAATTGCTGATTTCTCAAATTAATTTGTGAATTAGTACGACTTTTTAATTTTTTTTTTAAAGATTTATTTATTTGTGCATACAGAATTGGGGTACAGGCCAGAGGCGCAGGGGCGGTGAGAGGCTTCACCAGAGACAGAGTGGGGAACAGAACAGGGAGATCAACGAAGTACACTGCTGAGGGGAGCAGCGGGCGGGTCAGCAGAGGTCTGCCACACCATGTGGTCACCTCCGGGGCAGGCGGGAATCGAACTCATGCAGAAGCGGCTTTAGATTCTCAGTACTGTGCTTTAACCTGCTGCGCCACCAGGGAGGGCCAGTACGACTTTTATCAAAATTCAAAGGGATTTTATTTTGTGGTATTAGAAAATTATTTAAGGTCACCGCAACAAAGAACATGTTAACAAAATCTGTGTGTGTGTTTATGGAGATGGAGAGAATGTTCTCTGTAGTCTTTGGATAAGAAATAGTGAAAAGAAGAACATACAAACACAAGTAACTGTAGTCTCTCAGTTTCATAAAGTCATGGATGGATTCAAGGTTATTTATGTTTCATAAAATTGTGTAAAATAGGCCCATCTCTTTA